CTGACCCAGCTTTGTCTTGGCTCCAGACTCTCCTGCATGGTGCTCTGATAAGTTGTCTTAACTTGGGAAATCTCTTCCTGGGAGACAAGTTCCTCCTCTGGCTGTACCAGCTCTGTCATAGGGACGGTCACATAATGCTAACTATGCCTCCGGGGAAACTCCAATTCCTTGGGAACCATTGTTTCCCTAGTCACAGCTGAAGGGAGCTAATAAGTGTCTCTAGAAATATCTTCACTTCTGCCAGGGATGGTTATAGGCAGAGGAATTGACATTCTGATTGGAGTTTTTCATTCCTTAAACACAGAAAAAAAGAAAGGCAGGAAGACTGGTTGAAATGTATCAGACATGTAAACTTCTGAAGTAAGAAGTCAAGGTCAAGACTCCCTTTCAGGAAGCAGACAGGAGGTCTGGGGTTTGGCACCTGTAGAATGCCATCCCTGAGGCCAGGCCCAGACTCAGTTCCAAGGCCCTGATAGGACACCAGTCTCCACAGTTACAGCTTCCCTGGGCCTCTTGTCTGGCCTATGGTACTAGCCCAGGTCCAGGGGGTTCCAAGTTGTGCTGGAGGTCACAACTATGTGACCAGCCCTTCCTCCTGAGTTTACCTGTTCCTGGGATGGAATCCGTGCCTGCTTGGCTTCTAAGTGGGGAGGAATCCACACAGGTGTAGGAAATTCCTGTGCTAGACACATGTGCCAGGGATATAGAGGCTTGGTAGGCTGTGTGAAGGAACAGACCACTTGGCTAGAAGGCATGGACTCCCTACTGGCAGCTTTGATCTATTCCATTTTAGTCAGTTTGGTTCACGAGGCCCAATCCTGGCTGAGGCACACATGTCAAGTCCTGGTACTGTTCTCTTGACAGTCACACTTGTGGTCCTCCTGCTGCTCTCTCCTCTCTGAAAGTTTCAGACCATTGCATATAACCATACATAGGGCATCAGCTAATCGCTCTTCATTTGGAATATGCAAAACCACATGACAGGCTGAGGAGCCCAGAGTGGGTGAAGCACTTGCCTTGCAAGCAGGAGGGCTTGAGTTCAAAAGCCTAGACTCCATGAAAAAATCAGGCGAGGCAATATGTATCTTCTTCCCTCCTCCCCCTCCTCTCTTCTTCCCCTCCTCCTTCTATTTCTTAAAAAAATACTTTTATTTTTTATTATTTTATGTGTATATGTATTGCCTGCATGCATGTAAGTGCACTCATGTGCATGCAATGCCCACAAAAGTCAAATGAGGGTATTGGATCCCCTGGAACTGGAGTTATGAATGGTTGTCAGCTGCCATGTGGGTGCTGGGAACCAAACCTGGGTTCTCTGCAAAAGCAGCTAGTGCTCAACTGTTGAGCCATCTTTCCAGTCCCCTCTTTTCTGTTTCCTACAGTCTTCTTGTCGAGCCAGCAGGAACACAGTGAGTGGCTACTTCCTGGCAGGCCGGGACATGGCATGGTGGCCGGTGAGTTCACCCTGCCTTCTCTCTCCTTTGTTCACAGAGCTGTCTGACCTAAAGGTCAGCTGCCATCTGCATCCTTGGGTCACGTGGGATTGATGTAGAGGGCTCCTACTCATCACTTTTCTCCCTACCTCTCCAGATTGGAGCCTCGCTCTTTGCAAGCAGTGAAGGCTCTGGCCTCTTCGTGGGACTGGCAGGTTCAGGTGCGGCTGGAGGCCTAGCTGTGGCAGGATTCGAGTGGAATGTGAGCCTCAGAAGATGGGTACCACCTGTGGGAGGGTCAGGGCAAAGGGTACAGCCACCCTGACTAGCCCATGGATGGGGCACCTCCCAGCAACGTGTGTCAGCCAGGGTCTTGGCAGACTGTGGGTCACATGGTTCCTGAGCAAGTTGGTTTGCAGATGTCCAAATGCTGGGCAACGTGACTGCAAAGGGCTGTTGGTTTTGACCTGCCCAGCTGTCCAAGGAGGCCCAGCAGGAAGGGGCACCCAGGCTTTCACAGTAAGGCAGGAGGATTGGGGCAACTTCTGTACTGCTAGTCCCTGTTGCATCCAGCTGTGTGCCTGGGCAGGGCTTCTGGGAGCTACCCTATAGCCCTCACCTACCTCTGTCCCCACAGGCCACATATGTGCTGCTGGCACTGGCATGGGTGTTCGTGCCCATCTACATCTCCTTGGAGGTAAGTCTCTTCCTGGGGCTGTGGCAGAGGTTGGACCCTAAGTTGGCAGGGGTGGGCAGGACCTCTGGGGCTTCATGTCACAGGCCTGGGTTTATCAATATCCCAATTAACATTCCCATCAGCCTTTCAGGCAGGTTCCCTTGGCCCTCACTTACATATGCAGTAGGTTGTCCTTCATGGTTGCCACTCCAAGCACCTGCTGCCACTTGGTGGCACACCTGGCCATACTACCTTTGACTCTCCTTTCCTCCAGCCTCAAACAGTCTGCAGTCACTGAGTCCCAGTGATTTTACTTCTCAGATGTCTGATGATGCCCCCTCTTCCCTTAAGAGCCAACAAGCCTTAGCTCCCACCATCGATCCTTGGAATTTGTCATAAAACCCCCCAGATGTTAGTTGGGCGTGGTGGTGCACGCCTGTGGTCCCAGCACTCGGGAGGCAGAGGCAGGCATATCTCTGTGAGTTCAAGGCCAGCCTGGACTACATAGTGAGTTCCAGGACAGCTGGGGCTACAGGGAGACCCTGCTTCAAAAAGACAACAAAACAGAACCAAACCAAACAAACCCAGATGTGTCTGCCATCTGCCTCTGCTAAGGTTCCTTCAATCTATCCCTCATCTCACCCTGAAGAGCCAGGCTCAGGCTGCTACAGCCTGCTCAACATCCCTAAGAGAAAGTGAAAAACAGTCTGGGATCCAAGGCTGGTGCAGGTCCTGGCTGTGTGCTGGAGAGTCTCTGGCTGCGGACCGTCCTCTGGGAACACTGAACCCTCATCCCCCGTGTCTCCTCAGATTGTCACCTTGCCTGAATACATTCAGAAGCGCTTTGGAGGGCAGCGCATACGCATGTACCTGTCTGTCCTGTCCCTGCTGCTGTCTGTCTTCACCAAGATATCGGTGAGCTGTGCCAGCCCCCTTTTGTCAGTACAGCATAGAAACTTCCAAGATGTGAGGGTAGACCTGGTAGCCTCTCATGTAGACTTGTGCACCAGCTAGGGAAACTAAGGGCTAGAGGACAGTGACTAGAAGTCTAGGACAGGGGCCGCTGAGCCCCTGGGCCACAGGTCTAGGCTGGGCAGAAAGGTAGGCGATGAGACCTGGGCTGCTCAGGGTGAGCCAGGACTTCCCATTAGAGGGCACCAAAGATCTGCATCTAAGTCTACCTAGGCCTCCCTCCTGCCTAGAATTTTCTCCTAGGACTTGGCCCGGAAGTATCAAGAGCAGATAACCACTCTAAATGCCAGAGTAGGAGGAGCTGAGGGCCTGTTTGCTGCAAGTCTCTGATTTTACAGATAAGGAAACTGAGGCCAGGGGAAGGGAGGACCTAGTCCCAAGCCTTGTGCTCTACAGCCTTGTGGTGGATCCAAAGCTTCCCTTCTCAGTGAAGTTCCTTGGTAGTATGGAGCCTTAATCAGCTGTAGCTTCTGAGAGAAGCCAGAGTCAGGGCTGTGTGAGTCAGTGGCCTCTGGGAGTCAGTCACTGAGCCTCCCAGCCTAGTCCCCCACCTCCTGTGGAAGCCACACAGCCTGCTCTCTCAGGATCTGGGAAGGTGGAAGCTGGCTAGTTCCTGGGACCTCAGCAGCATCACACTGTGGTCTCGTCTAGAAACTCCCAGAGAATCCTGGTTTTCTTCCTCTGGGAATTCCTTTCCAGTCTGAAGGGACCTGGCCTTATGTTTCGCTTTCCCTCTTTCACTCTTCCTCCCTCTCCCTGTTGTCTGAGGCCACCTAGAAAACAGCGAGACAGATTAAAGGCCTGCTCTGGTCCTAACTGCTGGGGACCACTCTACAGTGGGAGGTAATGGCTACACAGGATGGGCAAGTATGGGTTCAGAAGAAGAAGAGATGGAGCTGCACCCTCAGTGGAGAAAGGGATGTGATGGGGAATGATGGAGGGCAGTGTGGGATGCCAAGGAGAAAGGCAGGGTCTTCTTTGTATGAGGAATTTGGGGACTGCCAGGTCAGGAGGCCATGTCACCAAGGATACTGTCAGAGACCAGTAGGAAACTATGAAGAAAAGTTGGAAGGCTGGTCATGGGGGGTGGTGACACACTGGAGGGCATACTCTAGCATTCACAGAAGCAGAGCTTGGTGCCACATTTGGCTCTGAGACAAGTAGCCAGCTTCCAGTCCCCACCCTGGGGGGCTGCAGTGGGACAGGAGACTGGGGCCTCAGATTGTGAAAGGTCAAAGAGCCCCGGAGCCCGGAGTTGGTGGGTTGTCAGCAGCGAAGGACCAGGGTCAGGTTTGCAGCTCAGACTCACTGGAACCTCCCAGAAGCTGAACTGGGGAGGAAAGAAAGACAGGAGAGGACTAAGCCTGGATGGTTCCTTCCCCATCTAAGAACTTATTCTGGGAGAGGGGGTTCAAGTGGGTCAGTGGGTGGGACTCCCAGAAGAGTGAGGAAAGCACAGAACATGGGAAGTATCTTATAGACTAGCCCATCTGGAGGCTGGTGGGTCCTTGACCAAGGTTACAGTGATCAGGTCTAGGTCAGTTAATACCCTGGTCCCTGTCAGAACAAAGAACCACAACAGTCAGGACATGGCTTTCAGACTCTGCCTTGTGGGTGACTTGGAGTATCCAGCTGTAAATAGGGAGCACAGCTATGTCAAGACCAGCTTCAGCACCATGCCAGCTGCCTGGATGAGGGAGGCTGAGGGGAAGCGGGAGGAGTGCTAATTGCTGTGTTTGGTTTGGGAGAAGCTGGGCCCCACCCTGGCTCTTGGCTTTAGAGTGGAGCTATTGGAGTTGCGTTGGCCTAGAAAAGGAGTGTCAAGATGCCCCACCTGTCAGCACAGCCTGTCCTGGCTGAGGTCACTCAGCAGGAGCAGAGGTCTGCAGAAGACCCTCCATGTCAGGCGAGGAAAATCACAACCTGTGCTTAGAGCCAGGAGCCAGAGTAGAGCTCCATCACTGTGGGGTTCTAGGCCAGTCATTTAACCTCTGGAAAATAAAGAAACAAGGTGTGACCCCACATGCTCCTCAGAAAAAGCAAACCAACAAACCATGGCACATATACAGTCCCTGTCACCTCACTGACATCACCTCTCCCTCTTCCCTTGGAGTTACACACACTGCTTGGCAGCCATATTGGCCTCCATGCCCTTCCATGGACACACCAAGCCCATTCCTGTCTCACCTCTCTCAAGTCTCAGATCTCTTCTTCTTTCCCCATCCTAGCAGGTCCAGCTCTTTCCTTCTCTTTTTCTTCATACCCTTAGCATCTTCTGATATCATGAATTGACTTAGTCTATTGAGACAGATGTGGTGGCTCATCTCTATAATCCCAAGGCAGGAGGAGCATCATGAGTTCAAGGCCAGCCTGGGCTACAAAGTAAGATCCTGTCTCAATAAATTAAAAAGAAAGGGTACTGTGTGCTCCATTTTCTCTTTGCTGATGCACTCAGTGCTATTGGATGCCAGCACTGTCCTGAGGACAGAATGAGATGACAGCCAGGAACTGGCTCCTTTTTTTCTGTGGACTAGAGAGTAGGTACTTTGATCAGCCTTGGGGACCACACAGTCCCTGTCCCATCTCAGCCCCGCCAGCAGTGAACAATAGTGTCGTGAGATGGTACTGAGTTTGGCTCAGGCTTTGATGCCACTCCCTGATCTGGAGAAACTTGCCACTTACTGTGCACCCACCCTGTTCTTGGATGTAGGTGAGCAGCCCAGCCCCACAAGTACTTTCTATATGGACTCTGTGCAGAGTGCACTAGGATCATAAAGAGGAAGCAATTGTAGAAGCTGCAATAAACAGGACTTGCTCCTCTGCTCAGCTGATGTACGCACCTTCTTATTTTCCTTTCACAGACACGCACATATAGGATGCAGGCCTTGCCAGACAGGAAGGGGAAATGGGATGTGTATTTGGGAAGAGTCCTCAGTGGCACTGGGGGAGGTAGAGAACGTTAAAGGCAAGAAGCTCCTGTTCCGAGTTGTCCTGGCCCGTCTGAAAAGGGCCCCCACTTAAGATGGCCCTTACAGAAATGGTCATGGCCCTAGAAAGGAAACATGGGTGACCACTAGAGAGGTCACATAGATTCTGTGCTGCTTGTGCTGCTCCACGGAGGAAGGGACATAAGAAAGGTGGGCAAGGGTGGCAGAAAATGGGCACAGGCCTGGGCATGGAGCCCCAGCTGTTCCTAACCACCTTTGGCTCCTCCGATACAACCTAGAAGGCAAGTTTCAATCAAGAGATGGAGTGGTACTCCTTTGGTGACTGACTGCTTTAGTTCCGAGCTGTGTGAGCCCCACAGGTCAGTTGTAGCTGCCTCCTGTAGCTGTGGCCCTTCCTCATCCTCACTACTCCTGCCCTGTGATGTAGGGTAAGATGGTAAGAAGTGGGGCTCTCTGCTCTTAGCGCTGAACTCCTTGAAGTTTCCCAGTTCCTTCCTTGGGAGCTCAAAGGCCCAGGGTCCCGCAGCATAATGAGATGGCTTTATCTTCTTCCCGGGATTAAGCAGAGCAACACATCCACTGCTATGTCCCATGTTGGCTCTGATACCCACCTGCTAGGAGCTGTGAACATGAGAGAAGCCACTGGGTACCATGCTCAGGATGGTGCCTGGCATACCAACATGTATCCACTGTCAACACAAGCAACATGGAGAGGGCTTATGGGAGAAATGGCCATGGAGGACCAGCTGGGTATAAGGGAAGGAGCCCTTGGTGGAAAGCTTGGTAGATGTGGGGGTTGCAGGGAAGGAGTAGAGAGAGGGGAGGCCTATGGTGAATGAGCGTGGACCAGCTTCCTGGGGCAGGCAGGTGCTTGGTACTGTCCTTTTGGCTGTATCCCTGGTTTTCAAGTTCCTCCACTCTCTTGGCCTCAGGATCCTTGCCTGTGTCTCTGGAGTTAGCTTAGACTCAGTGGCTGCCACATGCTACCTAGGGAAGGAGGCACAAAAGACAAAAAGTCCCAGGAAGGGTCACTTGATTTTCTGGGCCTTCGCTGGAAAGTTGCTGGAAGTCAGTCTGTTCCACACCTGAGGCCCCATTCACAGAGAAGGATCATCATGGCCCAGGAGGTAAAGTGACTTGCTCAAAAGACACAAAGCTGGTATATTAGCAAGGGACAAGAACCCAGGTCCCCACAGCTTCTATTAATACAAAGTTGAAGCCTGCCTTCAGGGCAGCAGAAAAGAGTGAGGCTAGGGAGGAGGTGTCAGGCAGACCTCAGTGATACCTGTAGCTCTTTACTGGGCCTCCTCTGGGGCTGTGGACTTTTCCTACTGAATGGCTGGCAGGGCTCCAGCCCACACCTGTGTTCCCCATCAACTTTCCAATCCCTCTCAGAGCTGTTCCATCAGAAGGCAGAGAAGACAGAGAGGACAGAGGGTGAGGAGCAGAGCTCTGGGTCTAGATGGGGAACCTGGAAGATGAGAGACAGAGACCAGATGGTCCCAAGCTCAGGGGACTTGGAGCTGAGGCCTCAAGGCAGCACAGTGCAGGAAGTGAGTATGGTATGGCCAGAGCATTTGGGGTAGAGCTAGAAAGAGAAAGCCTAGAACAGGGGAGCTCTCTAGAAGTCTCCTATATCCCCTTCCATCCTTCCTTGCCTTGCCTGGCAAAGCCAGCCATGGATATATAGCAGGTATCAGTGTAGTCTTCCCTCAACTTGCCCAACAAGAAATGGCAGGTTTGGAAACAGTGTGAGAGGGTAGAGCCTGTTCTCCCAGCCCCTGTCACAAAGGCTGGGCTCTACCTGCTCAGGACCCACTGTCTGCCAGGACTATGACCTGTGAGGTCCATTCCCACATGGAGGAGCCTCCTGGTGAGTTCCTCTTGTCATAGTGCCCTATGGAACTGAGGGGACAGGGCTCTACCTTTAATATCCCATGGACAGGGGGCAAATTCAATGACAACGTGGCTATGTGGTGGGCACTGACCACTTTGGATTTTATTAACAGTAACATCCCCCATACATCTGAAGATGACACACAGCTGTTCACAGCCAGTCCTTTCTCCCACCCTCACAACAGTCCCAGCTGCAGGCAAGTGATAAGCAGCTGCGGGTCTCTACACCTCACCCCTGGGGCACTCTTGCCCAGAGTCCCTAACCTGGGTCACAAAGCCTATAAATATAGCCCCCAGACTCTTGAGCCCCAGGCCTCACTGTAATGTCTGACTTTGCCTGACAATTCTGCCTTCCACAGATCGACCTATATGCAGGAGCCCTGTTTGTACACATCTGCCTGGGCTGGAACTTCTACCTATCTACCATCCTCACCCTCACCATCACTGCCCTGTACACCATCGCAGGTATGGTGCCTAAGACCCCCAGGAACAGGGATCCAGGGGCCCACCTCCTCCAACAGCTCAGGGAGCCCCTGAGAGTGGCCAATTCACAGCTGGTCAGATGGGAGTTTGGGGGCCTAGCTCTAGTCACCTAGATGCTTCGGTACACAGCTCATTCATCTCCAAGAACAGCAGCTCCACCAGCAGTTCTGGCCATGCTGAACTCCTCTTCCCTCAAGGATGGGACACTTACTCCAGCACCCCTGTTCCTGACAGGGGGCCTGGCCACTGTGATACACACGGATGCCCTGCAGACGGTCATCATGGTGGTGGGTGCTGTCATTCTGGCAGTCAAAGGTGAGGACTCAGGGGATCGGGCTGGGTAAGGGTGGCACCCCTACACAACTGCAGAGCTCTTAAGGTGAAACCACAGGTCACCTGTCCCCCTTGCTGGCCCTTGAAGGATGATGAGCTCTGCCTTCTCCTGCCCACAAGTGTGCAGTGGTGAAGCAATGACACAAGCTCACAGGACTGCCCTCCCTTAGGGCTACGGGGGTGTGGCTGCAGACAGCTGTGCAGACACACAATTAGGAGACCACAAAACTGCTGGGGTGTTTCCTACAGTGCTTAAAATCATGTACAGAGCACTGGGAGGTGATGTTGTCTCCTGCCAGACAAAGGCCTGTGGGGAGGGAGGTGAGCTGGATGGAGCAACATTAGTCTAGAAACAAACAAGGAAGTTATACTGCTGCCTCAGGAGGGAAAGGAGGAGGGAGGGAGGAGAGATGGAGTGGGCATCATTAAAGGTGAAGCCTAGGCTCAGAGTCTGAGACCCTATGACAGAGGTTACCCTTATGTACCCTTCCAAAGATTCCTGGTGGGAACAGACCTTGGTCTCAGCTCCAAGCTCTGTATTCTGCTGGGAAAGGGGAACTGGGCAGTATCTAAGGCTATACCCAGTGGTGCCTCTTTGGAGCAGCAGCCCATTTGTAGGACCTACTGTAGGTAAGACAGTCATGCACAGGCTGTATGGGAGGGCACCAACTACAGACACAGCAAAACCACAGGTAGGCCAGGGCTTGGCCTGCACCACCCAATGCTGAGGTAGACAGGACGTGCTTTGAACTCAAAGGAAAGACCCCTGTACCTGAACCCTAACCCGCACAGCTGACCCTGTGTCCTGGAGGGGCCTTCGCCTCCCTTCCTTGTGTCTTAGATGGATGGGCCCACACCACCAGGAGCCTGTCAGCTCTAGTGAAGCCACGGCCTTCGGAAGGTCACAGCTTCAATACTAGATGACATAAATGCTGAGAACCACTTCTGCATCCTTGAAGTGCCAGTCCAAAGGCAGAGAGCCCCAGGCCAGCAGGTTCCTTGAGACTAGCCATGGCTCCTACCTGCCAAGAGGAGGTGCCCATGTGCAAAATGCTCATTTAATAGTCATATTAAATACAAATAAAATAATTATTCTATTTCACCTTAAAAAACAAACAAACAAACAAACCTCAGCCCTTCCTAGAATGGGCAAGGCAAGGACTCTAGTTTGACACATGAAGAAGTTACCTATAAGATGAGGGCAGGGGGAGCCAGAGTCAGGACCACCCAACACCAACCTCTCCCAATCCTTCCCAACTCTCCAGCTTTCAATCAGATTGGCGGTTATGGGCAGCTGGAGGCTGCTTATGCCCAGGCCATCCCCTCCAGGACCATCCCCAACACCACCTGCCACTTGCCACGAACAGATGCCATGCACATGTTCCGGGACCCCTCCACAGGGGACCTCCCATGGACTGGGATGACCTTCGGCCTGACCATCATGGCTACCTGGTATTGGTGCACTGACCAGGTAAGCACCAATGTCGCCCACCCACCCCACCTGCTGCCATCCAGGGCTGGGCTGGGGTGCAGCTGGGTTGCTAGGGTTCCTTGTGGTCCCGGGCCCTGCGCTTAGAGTCAGAAGGGGCCCACTGGCTGCCACTAGCCTTGGCCTTTAGGTGCTTCGACTGGGACAGTTTGGAGTATGGGATTCCAAAAGGACTCGGATGTTCCTCAGGGGTCCTGAGCTCTGCTCGGAGGCGAGTGTTACGAACTGGCCTTGGGCTTGCAGGATCAGGCAGCATTCGGGGTGTCAGGCTGCCCTTGGGCTGCCAGTGCTGGGGGCCTGCTGTGGCCAGGCTTGCTTTCTTGGAAGAGTTCTGGCCACCATCTGCAGCGGAGCGGTAATGGGGAGGCCCTGTGGTCCTGGAGGAGGTGCCCCTGTGACGGTAGAACTGCTGGCCCTGGAGAAAAAAAGCAGAGTGAGAAGCTCCTGAGGGCCTGACAGGGAGGACTGATGCCCCTCACATAGGACTCTTGCTGCACAAGCCAGACACAGCCTAGTTTGCCTCTGGCTCTGCTGCTCACCAGTGGGTAGCACCTGTTTCCACATCTATAATGCGGAATGATTCTGCCCTTTGTGGTTATAAGGCAGGTTCCTTCTACCTTTCCTGACCACCCCATCCTATTCATCTGTAAAAGGGGCTGGATGTCAATGGAAGAACCAGAGGGGGCTGTTGGCAGCAACATCTCCACTTAAGCTTAGACTTCTGATGAGGACTGGGGGAATTCTCCTACCTCCCAATTGTGAACCCTCCAGATGACCTCAGACAAGCCAAATCACTTGTCTGGGCAGAGGGGTCGATGCCTGCTAGACCTACCCTGAAGGCTGTAGGCAGTCCTGGGGAGAGCCGTAATAGGCACAGGTCCATTGATCACTGGTGCCTAGAGCCCCTGTCACTTGGGGCCCACCACAGGAAGAGTCAACCTGCTGGACATAGCCAGGTGTTGGTGAGGACTGTGACATGTCTTATATGCCTGCCTCCCTGTGAACTAGGCAGGGCTAGCTCCACTCACAGGTTGAATAACAAGGCCCAGAGACAGACCTGATATGCACACAACTGGAGAAATGTTCCTCAAGCAGAAGGGGCTCTGCTGGTAGTCACATAAACACCTGCCCTGGGTTCCAAAGTGGGAACCTACACAGCATACAGGCTGGGAGGTATCAGAGGCACAGGGAAACAGCCTCCATTTCACCCCTCTAACCTACTGATTTAGAGGAGAGCAAGGCCCAGAAAGGGTCACACAGGAAGGGTCCCTGTTGATCCCAGATGGTTATGGAATCAGCCCTGCCTCCCTGGCTTTACCTTAGGCTGGATCTGCTAGAGGTTGCCAGGCCTTGGTACCAACACTGAACCCTGGTCCTCAGATAGTCCTCACTGGCTCACAGGGTCTGATGCTCTCCATGCTGTGTGTTGAGCCACACATGCTTTTTGTTTTCTTAAGAACTTCATGCTTTTCCCTAGCTGCAGTCTCATCCACAGTGAGTAGGTGATCATTTTGTCATCAAATAGAAAGCCAAAAGCCAAAGGCAGGCTGGGCATGGTGGTGCACACCTTTAATTCCAGCCCTCAAGAGGCAGAGGCAGGCAGATCTCTCAGTTTGAGACCTGCCAGCCAGGACTACACAGTGAGACCCTGTTTCAAATCAAACAATGAGAAATCAATAGTGCCAGGCGTGGTGGCTGCTTCAAGAGTTACTTTTTGTGAAGCAAGGATGGAACATGCTGGACCAGCACTATACACTGAGTTATACTCCTAATCCCCCCCCCCTTTTTTTTTATTATTAAGAGTCAGGTGTGGTGGCTTATGCCTGAAATCACAGCAGAAGCACTACTGGGAGTTCAAGGCCAACATAAGCTAAATAGTTAAGTTCCAGGCCAGGCTGGGTTTTAAGTGAGACCCTACCTTTAAAAAAATTTTTTTTTAAAAACTGGAAAAGAAAAAAAACCTTTCATCCTAGTAGCAAAATTAAGTATCAGAGCTGGGGAGGGATCTTAGATGCCACCTGTTTATATCCCTAAATTCCTCACATCTGGAACCTAAAGACATCAGGATTTACTCAAGGTCTTTCAGAAAATCTGGTGTGACCATCGCTGCTGAGCTGCAAGCTTCCCTAAGGCTTAGGCTTAGAGCTCTGCCTGGGATGTTAAGTAGTGCCAGCGTTTGCTCACAATATATGTGTGAAGGTGCTAGCTGCCTTGCTGAGGGTCCAGGAGATGGGAGTTCCAGGAAGCAGATACACCTGAGCTGCCTTCACAATGCCAGGGACCTATGCTTCCCTGTTGAATGAACAGGGAGATGGCTTCCCTAGGACAAGTGTAGCCATGTGAGCCCTCCTGTGGAATGCCAGCTGTGCTGGCACTCTGGCTGGTCATCTCAGGCAGGTCAGGGTATAGTAAGAACACATGCTGCTTTGGATGTTGAGGCAGGTATCCCTGAGGCTGGGCCTCATGCTTTCTCTCCCCATACCCCCAGGTCATTGTGCAACGATCCCTGTCTGCCCGGAACCTGAACCATGCCAAGGCAGGCTCCATCCTCGCCAGCTACCTCAAGATGTTGCCCATGGGCCTAATGATCATGCCAGGCATGATCAGCCGAGTGCTGTTCCCAGGTAGGATGGGCTCTGGGCAACACCTGCATCAACAGGTGCATCAAGGCTCCAAGGCTTTGGCCTATAAACATCACTACAAGGTGACAAAGGAGAGGTCTGGTCATGCTCTTCATGGAAGAGGAAGGGAACTACCCTTAGGACTCCAAAGGGATCTACAAGGAGATGGCTTAGCATAAAGTCCAGTCAAGGACTGATGACAGTTTGTAGCCTTGAGAGTGTACAGGAATATTTATGTGCCCCACTGTTTATTACCTTGTCTGCAAACTAGGGACTGTACCTTTCACCTAGTAGGGAGCATCAGACCTTGTACTGTGCGTATGTGGAGCCTGGGGGTATGGGAATCTGTATTTCTTTAAATTACTTTTGGGGGGACTCTGGGACAGAGAGCCCCCAGCATGGAAATGGCCAGCCACATGGCCCTACAAGGTTCTGTTTCCACATTCATCATCTCCGTCGGTACCAGGGGAAGCCATGAGAACCAGGGACACTATAGTTCAGGAAACTGCAGTTCTGGGCTCCTTGGATGACCACAGGAGACCTGGGGATAAGGCACCAGACCCACCTGAGCCTGCCTGTTCACATGGCGTTGTGCCTGTTTCCTTGATGCATCTGCCTCTTCTCTGCCCTGACCCTGGGCCCACAGGGGGCCACCAAAGGTTCCTCGGGTTATGTGAGGGGCACTCAGCTGTAGGTGGGGTGAGTGGCCTGGCCCATTGGCCATCTGCTCTGAGTGGCGTCTCTGGAGAGGTGCTGACCGCTCTTTCACCTCAAAGTACTCATCTGATACGGATGAAGCCACTGAGGGTCGCCGGTGGCCAGGGCCAGAGCTGCCTGAAAGGCTGTCCTGGTCACTAAGGGTCACGTAGTCATCATCATCTTCCTCCTCCTCCTCCCCATCAAGCCCATTGGGGAGTCCTACCCCTGGGCCATCAGGGTTGTCCTCGGTCAAAGATAGCTGCTGTTGGAGCGGGGCCTGGTTTGGGCCTGTTGTCCTGGATAGCCTGGGGTCTGTCCCATTTGGCGGTGCCTCCTTTTCTGGGGTACCCAGGGCCCAGTCAGTATCACTGCCATCCTGGGCAAGTAGGTTTGCCACAGGGACTGTCCGGGGCTTTGGCACAGGGGGCTGTGGCTTGAAGTCCCCCTGGGAGAGGCCATTCTCTGCTGGGACCCCATTCTGGGAGTCCCTGGGTGCTGGGGGAGGATGGGGCTCTGGGGAGGGGCGTGGTCCCTGGCTCTGCTTCCACAGCTGGTGCTGGGTGCTGGCATGGGCTGTGTCACGGATTTTGATGCGGTTCATCTGATTGGGCTGAGGGTTCCAGATGTTGGGATCAATGATGTTGATATAGCCCAAGATATCACTGCCAGGCTCTGGGTCCGGTTCCACCCATGTGGGCAAGTATTCAAACATGTTGGCCCTCTCCAGGTTCAGCAGCCCTGGGTGGACAGGTGGCAGCAGCTCAGGGAGGTCCCCTGGGCGCTCAGCTAGTGTAGGGCCCCGCAGCCCTGGGGGCCTTGCACCTTCCTGCTTCTCAGAAGATGTCTTAGCAATCTCATCCACACTCTTGGCCTTGACCAGTGCATATTTGGGATTGACAAGCTTCTTGGCCACAGTGCCTGTAGGAGCCAGGGGCACCACAGAGGGCAGCACAATGGGCTCCGGCTCCGGCTCCTTCTCCATGGGAATGTCCTTGAGGCTGACGCCCTGGGACATGAGGTATAGCTCCTGGAACTGCCGGTCGAACATCTCCACCACCTGACCAGACAGCACGGAGATCACATTTCGGTCTGTCCTTGCAGCTGACCATGTGAAGCTGCAACACAGAGGCAGGGTACTACAGGTCAGGCACAGGGCACTTTCATCTCCCTTAGGTCTTAGTGCCCTTGATCTAGCAAGTGTCCCTGGCCCCTGCTACAGGGGGATCCACAGGGTGCCCTCTGAGGTTCATCAGATTGGCCATAGGGCCCTTAAACGAAAACAGACTAGGTGGCACTGGACAAGACACAGCTGAAAGCATCAAACATGGGTCTGAGAGCCTGTGTCCACCTCCTCCCCAGTACACCCCTTGGACTTTCCTGGAAGGTAGCATGAGAAACCCTGCTGCAGCCTTGGGTACCAGATACCACCCGGCACAGTAGCCTTCACTGATGTCTTTGCTTCCATCAACCCCTGAGTGACAGTGGCATCTCTGCTCTGCCACATGATCATGCAGAGCTGGCTCTTGACCTAAAGATAGCTCTCAGAGTGACCTCCAAGAGGATCTGGGCAGATGCACTTTGACCTACCTGGCCCACCCTACTCCTGGGTGAGTAACAGTGTGGGCTGGAACATTAGTCTGCTCGGAAAGAAGGCTTCACCTGCCTGCCTCCAGAGACAGTGGGCGGGCCCAGCCCTGCACACAGCTCAGCAGTTTGGGAAGCAATGAACTGGAATAACCAGCGGAATAACCAGCCTGTCACATGCAGGGATTAAGGGCAGAGACCAGCTGGGAACCAGAGGCAACTCCTCTCCAAGCCCCTGAGGATAATCACCTGTAGGAACCGCACACAGCCCGATCTCCATCCACGAACATGAACTTCTGGGCCAGGGCACCCTTGAACTTGGTGGCTGACCGAGTGAAGAACTCAGTTCCCCCACTGCTGCATACCCTGAGATTCTGTTGGGAAACAGAAAGGCAGAATTAAACAGCTACAGGGAGTCAGACTGCCCAGAGCTTGAGGACAGTTTTGGGGGAATGAGAATGGAGAATGAGGTGTGAAGAAGGGCAATGGACGCGGGACTGTGGGACCAGGCAAGGGGGGGGGTGGCTGTGTGGCGACTGTTGCTAAAGACTGTGGGCCAGGATGGCCTCAGCTTGTCCCCAAGAGCATCCACAGAGCAGCATGAGGCAAGGTGAGATCTACATGACTAGGTCAGTTTGGGAAATGCTGTTGTCTGGGCTGTTGTAAGGACTTGAGTGGGAGGGTGACGTTTAGAAAAGTCCATAAACAGCTGGGAGGGGGGAGAAGGGAATAGAAGCAGGAAGCAGCCATTTAAGCAACCTGTCTTGTACTCTGACAGATCCGGAGCCTTCCAGGATGAATGACCACTGGCCTCTCCACACTCCTGACACTCCCCATGTCACTGTCCTTGTTCTAGGTTCCCTGAAGGCATTGAGGGAAAACTCGTATTTCTCTGAGGCTAGGACACAGTCTGTCTCCAGGACTGGTTCCATAAATGGCTGGCTTCAGTTCCTCCCTCTACATGGTCTGATTTAGGAGCTAGCTCAGCTGATTGAGGAAGGCCCTCAGAGCCCATGGGAGCCCACAGAGGCCTAGAGAGAAAAGAGGCCACTGGCTAAAGAGCAGAGTAGGGCCACAACTGTTGCCTTTTCCCGGGTCCTAGCCACATAAGGGGCCTCTATTCCCAGTGTGGGGTCCCAAAATCATCTAGGGTCTTGGTACTATAGGGCCCAATGCTGGGCATAGTGCACCCAGGAGGGCAAGTCAAACTTCACTGAAATCTAGGGTTCAGGGGGACTATTAAAATAGAACCTCATATGGGCAGGGGGTCTAGGGTCTATCTGGCTCAGGCCTCACCAGGGATCCTGAGTGCCCTGATTCAGAAAGCCTGTAGCTAGGCTGGAAGTTCTGACACCTGCCCTGGGAAGGAATTCCCACAAGAGCCTCTGGCCTGGTTAACTTACTTGCTTCCTGTAATGGGAGTCTCACTCCCCACAAGAACTCTGTGGTTCAGACACTAGGTGGTGACTTTGCTGTGACTTGCCCATCTGTTTCCGTACCCACTCAGTAGCTCCAAGCTTATTAACTGCCCACATGTTCATTTTTTTCACTGACCCCCGCTGAGCCCCCCCCCCCCCCCGGGG